TATATATGCACGTACGCATTTACTAAGTATGTGGTTCACGTTTGCGGTATAATGAATGGCAGGTACTACCTACTACAGGTACTACAACGCACGAGCCTATACATAATAGTGTTATTACATATTTTACTCAAGTATTACGGTATTTAAAGTAGAGTGCTTGCAATATTAATTGGCGCGGAACTTTGTTTGTTAGTTGCGGGTATCAGACTAAACGGTACTTCCTAAGAAGGTAATTTTTTTGTCCTCTAGAGGAAAGCAATTTGGAGCTTAGGAAGGATTGACGCAAAATGAAGAAATGTAAACAGTAACAATAATAAAGGTACGATAGTTGTGTCAATAAAGGAACAGTTTTAAGGTAAACGACGCATGTACACAGGGGTTGGACGAATGGAAAGGTACGGAAAAAAATAAAATAAATACCTAGCAAACGGGAGTTAGACACAGTTTTAAATAAAATGGAAGCGGTATTGACAAAAGTGTATTGTATGAAAATAAATAAAAGTAAAACAAAAGTACTGATATGCAAGGGAAGAAAAAGTAGGGAAAGATGGAATATAAAGATAGGAGACGAAAAATTAGAAGAAGTGGCTGATTTTAGGTATCTAGGAAGTCAGATAAGTCAGGACGGAAGGAGTAGTAGGGATATAATGCAGANAATAAAAGTAAAACAAAAGTACTGATATGCAAGGGAAGAAAAAGTAGGGAAAGATGGAATATAAAGATAGGAGACGAAAAATTAGAAGAAGTGGCTGATTTTAGGTATCTAGGAAGTCAGATAAGTCAGGACGGAAGGAGTAGTAGGGATATTATGTAGCAGAGAATAGCTTAGGGTCCAGTCGTCTTCAATAAAAAGAAGTCACTTCTATGCTCGCGAACGATGGTGTTACATGCGAATGATGAGGATACCGTGCATAGAGAAGGTCAGAAATGAAGAGGTATTAGAAAGAATAGAATAGAGGATTCTACGGAAATCAATAAGAAATAGGCGAGATAGGTTAGTAGGACTCTTTCTCAGGCATGAAGGTCTAGTCAAATACATATTAAAGATAGAAACAGGAGTTAAGAAGAGTAGAGGTAGACCTAGATTACTGTTCTCGAATAGTAGTGACGACCTTATGAGGATGATGATGATGATGTATACCTACAGTCATATGGTACAACGCACATTCAAACGAAATAATGTGCATGAATGTTTCCACACCATAGTAGTTGTCAAATCGTTGCCTCCCTTAATGCTTCCTTGAGTAACAGTCATGTGGTAGTCACTAGGCCACAAATCTGGGCTATGGGGTGAGCGTTGCAGTATCTCTCAATAATTTTTTTCCGATTTTCCGGGCATCATTAAGAAGAATCGCATTTCAGAAGTAGGCATATTTCGCCTTTTTCGCCGAAAGGCCAGTTTCGCTTCCATCATGAACATGGCAGTAATTTTCAGCGTTGACTGTGCCCTGCTGACGAAGAAAAACGAATCTTGACTTTCCAAAAGTACTGCTTCTCCAGGTTTCCGCCACCTCATGTTTGCTTGATTCGGGGGTATAATAATGCACCCACGTCTCATCACACGCACCAATACGACTCAAAAAAAATCTGCCCCCCGCCTTTGCTCGGTATCTCACCAAAAACCTTTCATACACCGCAAAGTGGTTTTCTTTCTGGGTATTTTTTTAATTGACATTATTATTTTTGCGTGGTTTTTGCATAAATGAGGCATAATTGTTGTATTGTACACGTGAGGTCTTAGTTGCTGTTGCGGAAATGTGAAGTGGAAAATGTAATGGGAGGGGGGAATGTGAAAAGTAATTCACATGGGTATTTTTTCGGGTTTCGTTGAGAAATGACGGAAATTGTTGTATTGTAGACGTACAACATATAAGAAATATATATGAAATGAAGTGAAGTAAATATTACGAAGGGAGTCAGACAGGGATGCACACTGTCACCGCTACTTTTTAACCTGTACATCGAAGACGCCATCAACATCATTAAAGACAGTACAACTGTAGGGATAGATGTGCAAGGGCAAAAGATTAATATGCTTAGATTTGCAGATGATATAGCAAGGAGGAGCTAGAGATAGCTTTAAATAAAATGGAAGCAGTCCTAACAGATCAGTACTGTATGAAAATAAATGAAAGTAAAATTAAAATACTGGTATACAAGGGATTGTTAAAGGTGTATGTTTGGAACACGGCATTGTACGGGTGCGAAACATGGACAGTGGGCGCGGCGGAAAAGAAAAGGTTAGAAGCATTCGAAATGTGGTGTTATAGGCGGATGATGAGGATATCGTGGGTAAAAAAGGTTAGAAATGAAGAGGTATTGGAAAGAATAGGAGAACAGAGGACTCTATAGAAGTCAATAAAAAATAGGCGAGATAGGTTGGTAGGACACCTTCTTAGTCATGAAGGTCTAGTCAGAGACATGTTGGAAGCAGAAACAAATAACAGGAGCAGGAGCATTAAGGAAACTCCAATCCCTCATAAATCTCCCTAACTAAACAATGATGTTACCAATGCATATTTAGCAGGAACAGCTGACGAAGAGCTGGAGTCAGGGTCGTACCTATCGGAATTTCTTCCGATTAACAAAACTTTAGGAGTCTGTATCTCAAGTCACATTGGTTTCCGCATGGAATAAATAGTACCACACGATTCTACTTGGTGAGTACTTCCTACCTGACTTAACTATACCGGTTTCTGTTCTTTCGTGAGGAGGCGAGATACCTATCTTGCCCAAATTATTCGAAATGCTTGATTGAGCACTCCCGTATGGGATCCTGACCTCTGCAGCAATTTTCGGTACAGTTCAAGAATTGTGCACCGATGAAAACTTCAACGTTGACCCGGCTACCTCCATCGAGCCCCGGTCGCTGGTCGTACATTTCACATGTTTTTTACGGACTTGGATCACGACCTCGACGCTCGCTTCTGCCGCCGCATCGAAAGTACTCCGCATATACTTTGTACTGGGGAAAAGTATTCCATTCCCAGAGTTGAAAGGGAACGTCATACTCTCTTCCGTTGATGTGTAATACAGTTTTATGAATTTTGCGCCATTTATTCATAGTAACTGCAGTAGGTACATAAAAAACACTTACAAAACTACCAGTGAGTAATGAATGTACTATACATTGGAAGAACGCTGAGGCGGTGCGTATTGAAAATGATATATATTTATAACAACCGCACATTTAATTTGTCTGTGTAATGAAGTAAACGACATGATGTCAAATTGTCAAACATACCTCAGCTCTATGTAACATGAATATTTGATACGTACGTGATTCTTGACCATAAACTATTTTATTGCCTTTGGTAGAGCAAGCGGTAATATTTGGATTACATTTTTTCTGCTGAACTGCCATTTTATTACACCTACTCCTACAGCATTCAGAAACATAAATAAAACAACCCAAGTCATTCTTTATCTTATCAAGGCGTGGTGTAGATAATGGTTGTGACTCACGTAGATATTATTATAAGCAATGTATTCCTTTTCTTTTGAAATTAATCCACTTCTGCGTACCTATACAGTGTAATTTCCCCCAACTAACCCAAACCTCTTAAATGCAACCAGTTATGTTCAAGTTACAGAAAATTCCAATGAAAGAAAATTTCTGCTTTACGGTCAAAACCAGATAATTTATCTCATATACAAAAACGACGAAAAAATATTCTCCGACAGATCAGATTTTAACTCACAGGCTATAGTTATGATGCATTGGTATAGCCTCATTTGTAAAAAATACTTGCGGTCTAACCATTACCACCTTAAATTTTGATACACTCAATATTATATCAAAAAAGTAGGGTTAGGATTTTAAAGTTGTGGTAGAAAAGACAACATGAACGAAGTGTACAGATATACTGCCTGACACCCTAATCTGAGTTTGCAAGGATTATTATTAAAGGTGCGCTTAACATCTGTAATAAGCCCACGTAGAACCGATAATCTTTGAAACTAAAATAAAAAAATTTGACGATGAAGCAGAAAATTTTCCTTAACCGGATTTTTCTCTGATAATATGAAAATAACTGGTTACATTTCAGAGGTTACAGTTGGGGAGGTTTAACTGTAAATGTCATTTAGAAATTAGATAAGTCGTATAAGTTTTTGACCCGCCTGATTCTCATATCTGGAGGTCAAGGGAGAATAGCAAAATAGAAAAGAAAATATGTCGTAAATGGAATATTTTTTGCAGTAAACATTGGAACAATGCACAATGTTTGTACTGGTGTTTCTCAAATAGATAATAACTTCATCATGGTGAACAATAAATTTGATAACGTTTATGAATAAAATTATAAAATTCCACACAAAAAAGGCAAACGGTTAAATCACGAACGATTAAAAACACAAACCTTAAATTATAACAGTTAGTAAAACAATTGGTTCTGATAACATTGTGTTTATAGAACTATCGACATTTTTAGAAAACAAAATTAACAGTTATTAAAACAATTAGTATTGGGTAGGTACTAACAAACGTAGTAAATGAACAAGTATCTTTAAGGATAATATCACTTAAATATCTATTATCAGTAAACACAATTACGGGATAGAAAAAAAGTAGGTACCTATTCATATAAATAATTATTATTTATCAATCAGTGATTTGATCCGCAATCCGTACCAATTGATAATAAATGAAGTACATCAAAAATAAAAAAACAATTTTCCCATCATCCCCTTTAAATCAATGCAATAATTATATACGCTTAAACGAACAAGTTCTTGTTAAGCAATTCAGCCCAGGATCATAATTAAAATCAAGAACAATAGAGAGAATCGATCTTTCAAAGTTGCGAAAGTCCTCGTCAAACATCGAAAAAATTGTCTGCATGTCATATAATCGGAAACCATTCGGTAATCCGGAATTTATTCCTAAACAAATATTCCCTCGTGAGTTGGTGGTGTATTGTACTGTACCTATGAAGTGACGTTTTACGTAACGTAGATACTAAAACTAAACCCGTATTGATTTTCGAAAAGCTTCCTACCTTACTGTTGCTGAAGCCCTTCGGAAGTCCACGAACATGCAGAAGTCATTGTTAAAAAACTACTGTATCTCATCGACTCTTCCAAACTTCTGGGAAACTTCAATATTTCAAGGAAAGTAATACAAAATTATCATCCCCCATGATTGATTCAATAGATAATAATAAAACGATAGTACAAAATAACACACATATACAGTAACTAATTGACCGTTAACTATCTAACAGCTCAAAGCCCACTTCTCTTTTGTTTATTTTTCCATTAGTAAACATAATCACTAACGAATCATTTCGAACTATCTCACTTTAACTATCTTCTCGTGAAACGCATAACACGCAAACTACAAAAACGCATACATCTCTCTACCCACATAACACGTTTACAGCCACTGTTGACTGTGACTGTTTTTCTGAGCCATGGCACACTTGCCTCGTTCTGTTGGTTACCCTTCTCATCTGCGAAAGAGAGAACCTGTGGTAAACCATGTGACCTGTATTGACTCTTTAGGTTTATAGAGACTTTATATAGGCAACACACATTGCCCATTATACCGAGGTCTTCAAGAAAATTATTGACATTTTCATGGAACTCCAACATTGGGTATTCAATAAATAAATCAATATTTTGAATGGTCAAACACTCAGAAAGTCAGAAGGCAATGTGAAAAGTGAACAAGTGTCTCAATTTTTAACGTATCGTATAAAGACATCAGGAAGAGTAGATCCAAGATCCAAAATCCTCCAAATGAGCTTCCAAAGAACAGTAGCTCATAAAAAAGTAACAAACTTAGAACGAAAACTGGAAGTTAGAAAGAGCTGATCATAATGAGTATGATTCTTCCACTAACAAACTAAGAAGGAGATGAAGAAAGTGAATAAGTATCTCCATTTTTAATGTATCGTAAAAAGACATGTCTTCAAGAAGAGTGGATCCAAGATCTAAAATCTTCCAAAGGTCCTTCCAAAGAACGTTCAATTTATGAAAAGAAAAATTTTCTACAGTACCTCATAAAAAAGTAACAAAATAAGAACGAATCCCAGAAGTTAGAAAGAGTTCATCATGATGAGTATGATTCTTCCACTAACAAAGTTAAAAGGAGACGAAGAATGTGAACAAGTATCTCCATTTTGAATGTATCGTAAAAAGACATGTCTTCAAGAAGAGTGGATCCTAGATCCAAAATCTTCCAAAGGACCTTTCAAAGAACATTCAATTTATAAAAAGAAAGATTTTCTACAGTAGCTCATTAAAAAGTAACAAAGTAAGAACGAAAACCTTAGAAAGAACTTATCATGACGAGTATGACCCTTTCACTAAGAAAGTTGAAAGGAGATAAGGAAAGTGAACAAGTGTCTCCATTTTTAACCTACATGTCTTTAAGAAAAGTAGAACCAAGACGCAAAACCTATCGAAGGATCTTCCAAAGGACATTCAATTTACAGCAAAAAGAAAAGCTTTTCTACTGTAGCTCATAAAAAAGTAGCATTGTAAGAACGAAATCCAGAAGTTAGAAATAACTTATCATGATGAGTATGATTCTCCCGTGGTTTAAATAAAATTGACTATTTCAAATGACCACAAAAAAGGTAAAAATTTAACATTTTTATTTTGTTGTAAAATGTTACAAAATATAGGCGATTATTATAAGATTTATGTAAAATAAGTAAATAGAACATTTAAAAAAAATCAGTCATCTGCAAGCCAGATGTCGGAGGTACAATCTCCTCCTGGATATCTGAAATAAAACCAGAACAATGCTTTCAAAACTATAAGATATTATCGATATTTACCTAATTTCATGAGCATAGAGAGGTTCCGAAGGGTCTTCTCCAAAATCGACTAGAAAGTCATCATCCAATTTCAATCCTCCTGTAACTGTATTGACATCAACTTTAACGAGAAAACTTCCAGTCTTTATAGTTTCTGGATAAAACTGTCTGTCCCAAGGAGAAAATAAACCAGATGACACGTAAAGTCGTTTTCCATCAAGGGACAACTGCATCATTTGTGGTCCACCAAGGAGCCTCCTTCCCTTCACATATACAGGATCAACGGGAGCTTTTCCTTCTGGATCTTCTACGACTTTGTCTTTTGCGTCCTTTGTGAGTTTCCCTCCCAGAAATAGTTGACCTTTGACAGTCAAATGAAAAATGCACATTCTTATTCAATGTCAGAATTTAAACTTACCTACTAGTCTAGGATTTTTAGTATCTGTAATATCGTACTGTCTTATATCTCCATGAATCCAGTTATTTATGTACAGGAATCTGTCGTCCAAAGAAATGAGAATATCACTTGTTAAACCTGAAATACAGTGTTTATAATAATTTTCAATTAACTCCCTTGCTTCTCATATTTATTTTATTGTTTTTTATGGTCAGTCAATGGTTATTTGGTTAAGTGGTAATTAACTAACTAGTAAGTATCTAGTACAAAAGAGAAAATACAGATATTTGATGACTGTTGCTTCATTACATTTTCGGGTAGCAACACTATTAGGTCGACTTCATGGGGAAGAACGAGTATAATCAGGCTAAACTAATCAGAAGTTAGGGCCATTCGATTTCATTGGTTGGGAGATTTCAGGAAAGGTAGTATTAATAAAATAAAATAAGGTTTTTTCTTAGCAGTCAATGACCAAAGTTAAATCCTATTTATTTTATTAATATAGGGCTAAAGATTTCGATCTTTTTGGATCTCATCAGCGCGTCGCAGACAGCTCCGACAGAACACAGACCAACTTTTACCTGCTGTCTTAACAGCGCGTTTTAGAAAATACTACAACTGGCGCGGTAAATGCCATCTGTAGTACGATGCTACATTTTAGGATTACGTATGCTCCAACAAGGTCCATTTAAATATATGGATATCTACTTGCTGAAACGAATCCCGGCGTACCTAACCTCAATGTGATAGGCACGTTACCATAATCGAATAAAATAATTCGAGGTGGTCTGTATTCTATTAGAATGTATACGTAATCCTAAAATGTAGCATCGTACTACAGATGGCGTTTACCGCTCCATTTGTAGTATTTTCTAATCAAAAGGTGATCTGAAATTGGAAAGATTTTCCGTTATTTTGACACATACCATGAATAAATTCCCCATTGGATGTTTTCTTTGGTGGAATATCTATCACTTTTTCGGCTTTCCATTTACCATCACCTGCCAAGTAGAATCTGTGAATGCCGAAAAAAGTTAAATGTCATACGGTTCGTTCGTTTTCGTTTAAGAAATTGGTAATACCTAAAAACCTTTGAATATACCGCACACCCGACGAAACCCTCACTTGCTTTCGGATTATGGAGAAATCTAATTTCTAAAGGAGCTGTGCCTTCCTTTCCGAGATCAATCGACTGGAGTAGTTCCCTGTCTTTATATGAGAAAAAGTTTAACGATTTCCCATAATTGTCTGCATCTCCTGGCTTCATCCCTTTCTTGAAAACGTTCGGTATACCCCATTCGGTCGATACAAGAATGTCATGGTACGGTTGATACCAGAAATCGTAGTTAAACTGTGGGCGCTTATTCCCTTGAATCCAAGTTCCTAAAAAACCACGTTCATTAAACATAATAAAATCGTTTATGTGTTTAGTTTCAGTTTTGTTTAGTTTATTCTGAACACACAATTGTCGCTGATAACCTTCGACCTCTTTTGTGTAATTCACTACAGAACTGAATTACGAATGCGCACAAATAAAATCATGAAAATCTGCTGAATTGGAAGAAACTTCATTACGATATTCATTTTATATAAGTCTATAAGTCCAAGAAAAGTTATTTTTTCACCTTTTGGTTTTAATGTGCACGCATCAATAAGTACAAAGTCGCATTTTCCATTCCCATTCGCATCCCCCATTGCAGAAATCATTACCTCTCCACTAGGCAAACAGTGGGAAGTGTGGAGAGCAGAACAGTTCAAAGCATCGATTTCTGAAGCTTCAATTACCTAAAATTTTGATACGAAAGATTGTGAATTTAATTCGATTTTAGTCAAAAAAAAGAAATAGTTTCCGCTACCTTATGAATTTTCGGTTTTCTTGGGTCAGTTTCTGTATCTACAATGTATACCCTATTTGACCCTAAACTGGGCATAACTAGTCTGTTTCTTACGGGTACCGGACAGCATTCCTTGACCTTGTAACAACTGGAACATACATTCCAACCACTATGATGCAGTTCATCATGTAGTCTTTCCGTATACGTTTTGTGGATTATCTACGTAAATAATTATTTATCTTCAAATAATAAGACACTTATTTCTTAATACTTTGCTATAAGTTGGGGATGATGGATTAACATCCACGGTGGCTAAAAGGTCACTTTTCGTGGGATTAGGATTCGTCTGAATGCAAATGACGTAAAGAAGCTCTTCTCTAGGACCTTTCATAGCATCTAACGGAGATCGATAACCTGGACCTTATAAAAATTTAATAGCGTATCTATGTACATTATATTCAGGGAATTGATATCGCAACGTAATTAATTAAAAAATTAATTTCATTAATAAATGTAAGAACAACAAATAGTAATAAGGTAACAGTAATACCTTGCTGCATTTTTATTTTCCTAATTTCCACTCACAACTTGATAAGTAGTTCAATGCAAACCACACACACAGTACGATAGACACGTAGCAAGTAATCGTATTCTGTAGCAATTGCTTTAAAAGTAAACATTAATGTTTGTTAATGTGTTTTCACTTTGTGGGATTTGCCATATCTCACAGCCTATCATCAACATACAGCAACAAACGATTTTCTGCTGCTTTTATAATTAGATGTAGATAAATATTAAACATTCGTAAAGTACAGTATAGTTCACAAATTGTGACGAGCTAGAAAACTACTTCTAATATTAAACACTTAATAAACGTTTCCTTTCCTTTTGCTAACGGTATTTTCCGATTTGTTTTTTTAATAAAAATACTGTAGGTGGTTTACCAAGTAAATGATAAAATTTCGAAACAATTGCTTATTCAAATTTTATGAAAGTAGGTACATTACACTACGACCGCGGAAGCCTGAAAGACTGGGTTGGTTAAGAATAATGTTTAATTATGAAGGTTTGCTAAGTGAATAACGAAGGAGATTGTTGATAAAATGGAAATGTACTTTACAAAAATGTTTTGCTTTGATAATCTTCAGATATAAACTAAAGATTAGATTAAAAAGTTTCAAATTTTATATTCTGAAGAGGAGGGGATGTTTCACACGTTAGCAATATCGTGACGAGGTGGCCGAGTGGTTAAGGCGTTGGACTGCTAATCCAATGTGCTCTGCACGCGTGGGTTCGAATCCCATCCTCGTCGGTATGTTTTTTCGTATTGTTATTTATAAAAATGGTAAAATTGAAGTTGAACTGATTCCGTGAGTTGGTAGAAGAAAAGTAATATTGTACGTTTTTGTTACTTAAAAATATTAGGTACTAGTCAAGCTTCATATTAATAAACTAGGACATTTATTTGAATACTGATAAGGATAGCAAGAGATAAGGCAGTGAAGGAAAATAAATATAAAATATTTATTGTCACTGCTACAAAAGTCATATACGTATATTTTCAACTCTGTACTCCTACTTTAGGTTTTCCATATCATTGAGATACCATTTCCATAGCTTTTTCCACGGAGTAATAATCGGAAGGCTTTTCTTTTGGAAGCGCAAAGTGTACTACAGGACTGATGTAGTCTCTGTTCACTGGAGGATCGGTAGGTCTTTTGGTGAGGTAACTTACTATTAAACCAACTATTACGGTTATTGCGGTTCCAATGAATGCGTAGTAATAATGGGTGATGCGGAATATCGCAAAGGGTTGCTGATGTACTACAGGATCACTGCGAGAGAAGAAATAAAAAGTATTAGAGTACTATGTACCGTAACTATGATCCTGTACCTTGTCCAAGAACTTAATGTTGCATTAACTAAATGTGGACAGCCGTCTGTAGACAATGGTTTTGGCGGAAATGTGAGAATTTTCATCATTTTGTAGTACTGAGCAGTTAAAATAATAATTGATGTGCCTACTAAGCCCACCATGCCTCCCCAATAAGCCCCCTGAAACGTCCACATTTAAATCTGGGCGATCAACATACAGTACTATTTTGGAAAACCAAACCTTAGAGTTTGCTGAAGGAAATAGCATTCCTAGAATGAACAAACCCAACATGGGTCCAGCAGTGATACCAGCAATACTGATGGTTAGTGGCAAGAGTCCACCAAGGTTCTCAAAAACAAACACAAGGGCAGTACACACGACTCCAGATATAACCACAATTACTTTTATTATGTTACTGGCTGTTTTCTCGGTTGTTTTCTCTGACATTCTGGGTGCTACGAAGTCTTCGTAAATGGTACCCGCCACAGTATTTAATGTTGCAGAGAGGGTACTTAAATGTTTTATTAAACAAATAATAAATTATGTACGTCATCAATTGTTGACATGTTTACTGGTTTACCTCAAGGCAGCACTAAAAATTCCAGCAATAAATAAACCAGATAATCCAGGAATATGATGGGCTACATCCATCACGTAATAAGGAAGAAGTTGATCAGACCTTTCCACTGCTTTTGTAGCCAGTGGATCACAATTATGGTATTTGGTATAAATGATCAGACCAGTTAGAACAGAAAGGGATTTTACAATACACATGCCAACCCCAAAAATACCAAGCGCTCTGGAAAAAAAAAATCGTATGGAATTGTTCAAATTAAATTTTTAAACGAATGGTCATACTTTTTGGCATCTGAAATTGTCGGAACAGCCAAAAATCTTTGAACACAACCTTGATTGATAGCAATGATTGCAGTCCAATGCACAATTTGTCCAAAAGTGAGTGCCCAAAATCCATCCCTTTTTGTTGGGTCTATATCGAAACTAAAACATATTTTGTCGTTTGACTCTTATCGTTAAACTTTAATGATATGAATTACTCAAAAATGTCTAGTCGTTGTCCATCTAATGATGTTTGCCAAACATTCGCAAATCCTCCAGAAGCTTTAAGACCTAAAATGAAAACCGAAACCATAGCACCCGAGGTACATATGAATTGCAGGGTGTCACTCCACACTACTGCCTTTAAACCCCCAATGGTGGTATAAAATATACAAATGGAACATACGATAGGTGTTATCAAGTGAACGTGAACTCCAGTAGCTGAAAAGGAAATGATACTTTCATAACAAATTGACGACTACACATTGAAATACAGTTAACAGAAATGGTTTCAAATTCAAACTAAACAGGTTTTAGTGGCCACATTTTAAAAGATGCAAATTACTTTAGGCTCGATTCATACCAAAGGGCCGTCATGCTCTGTTTTGCGTTCTCAGTCCAGTAAAATATTACCAAATAATCGTATTCATATGCTACCCCCACGATCAAATTCCGATTCAATCATTCACCGACTTCGAATAGTTTACGTCTCGCACCGGCGACGCATCTTTCAAATGTCTGCCTTATCAACTGTCGATGGTAGGTTCTGCGCCTACCATGGTTGTAACGGGTAACGGGGAATCGGAAAGGGATTCTAGAAAAAAGGTGCTACATTCAAGGGAGGCAGTAGGTGTGCAAATCACTCACTCCTGGCACAGGGAGGTAGTGACGAAAAATAACGATGCGGAATTCGTGGGAGGCCCCGTAATCGGAATGAGTACAGTCTAAACCCTTTAACAAGTTAATTGGAGCAATAATAGATCTGTGATGCCTATAGATGTTCTGGACACTGAAGGAGTCAGCGTGTCCACTCTGGACTAGATACCCGGGTAATCCGCTGAACCTCTGCGAGAATATCTTTGATTCAGCTTTAGGTTAGGTTTGACCATTTCTGGTTTTGAGCTCTAAGAATTTTAAAGTAAAGCGCGATCAAAACCTGTCCAACAGTGGAATGTGGAGCCATGACCAGCTCTGTAGCATGAATCAAGTCTTAGGAGTTGTCGCTTCATATGCAGGTACTAAAATAATTTGAAAATTGAAATACAAACCTTGTGAGAAGGCCAATGCAGGAATATATATGACGACAGGATTGTAAAGAAACGTGTTAATGGCGAATAAAAGAGATGTGATTGTTCTCATACGATTATCAAATCTAAGTTTCAAATACTCGTATGTGCTGGTCAACTGCAGTTTGTAATAAACTGGTAGAAAAACGTACGCTGCTATTGCAGCAGTAATGGCAATGCAGATACAGGTGTGCCAATAAGCGGCTCCATAGCGATAAACATCAGCTGGTAGGGCCAGTAATGTCAATCCTGAGATGTGACTAAAAAAATACAGATCGACGAAATCCTTTAATTGAGAATATAAACAGATGTAAGTCATTAATTGTTAAGAATTGCGTATGAAATAAATGGAAGAATGATGAGATAAAAACTGTTAAAATCGCTATCAGTTGCAGGGTATTTGCAGATAGTTGTTTTTATTATGATGAAGGAATATTTTTATTATTTTCCTGTTTCTTCTTTTATTCAAATGGAATTCCAACTTAAAGATTTTTACCTTGCAATGAGTGACATCGAAACTGGGAAAACTTTCATAGTCTTTCCGCCTAAAAGGTATTCTTCAGTTGTATCCTGTTTTTTTCCAAAGAAACCAAAGTAAATCCCAATTAATGCACTTAAGGCTAACATTGTGCTGAAGAGGGTGTAATCGATCCATGAAAATTGTATTTTTGATATAAATTCGTTTACGGTGAAATTTGTGAAAACTGTGGTGGCGGTGGTTTCAGTGGTTGTGATCGTATCAAATTCGACTTTGGTGGTCATCTAAGAATTAAAATTTGAATGAATTTATTTTGGGTTAAATTAGCTTTAAAGTTGTTACCTTTCTTGGTTGATTCTTTAAACGTTCATCTAAATTGGTAAGGACATTCTTTACAATTTTCTGTGCTACTTCACAAATAGGTAGCTAACCAGCAAATAATATTAAAATTAGTACTCTTTCAATTTTTAAAATGCTCATTTTGATGACAAATAACATAAGTAAATAAATATAAATTATGATCTTTTGTTCCTTTTTCCGAATCATTTTTGCTATCAATGTTAAATATTTATTTTTAAAATTATTATTACTAAGAAATTAAACAATACAGTTTATATGCAACAGATTTATTATTAAGTAAACCACAGAGAGTTTAC